AAAATGTTTTGTCGTGAGTTTATCTACTATTTTTTTTTGGGAAAGACTGTTTTATAGACTTCAGCCGGAATCGAACAAGCGTCGCGAATGTACAAAAAAGAAGACAACTCAAATTAATAGTGGTATTACACTCAAAATAGTAGATATTACTGAGATAAGCCGAGATTTTTCCCATAGATTTTTAATTCTTACAATGAGAGTGTTCCGGGCTTGAATCGATTAATTACCAATCGAGTAAAAGTGCATACCGTCGTAAGTTCCCTGATATTTTGAATTCCTTTTTATGATGATTAAGTTATGATTCTTGATACTTGGAAGGTAAATTCGTAGTAAAATTCATGACCAGTCTAAAAAATTTAGGAACATAATGGCAAAGTGGAATCCAAAGCAAGTGTGAGTCACACTAAAGTTGATGTTTAAAACATCGTTGAAATTGACATCAATCAATGTATCGACAATTCAGCGATTTTAGGAAATCGTAAACATCGATGGCAAACATCGAATTTTGAACCGATATTATCGATATCTCAAAAATATCGATGCATCGTTTATATTCCTTATAGCCATTGGTATAGTCATGCATGCATGCGCCTGGAATGTGCGATGCGTTAATGGGGAAGGCGCCTCTCCTGGCTTGGCTGGTTGATGAGGACAAAAGTTAACATCACTTAAACTTATAAATGAAATGCAAATGCCAACGACATGAAGTAGTAATTAGAACATTTTTTCAATCGTAAGTGACGTGTTTACGTTTTTTAAAATATATTATTAAAAGAAAAAATTAAATAAAACCGATGCGGTAAAAAAAATCCAATCCAGGACCCGCTGCGCCAATCGGTGGAGCATTCGAGTCTTCAAATGATGAGTTCTCTTTATCCTTTCTTGGTTTAACATTCAATTAAAAATGTATTAAATTTTTTTCAGAAAAGTTCATCAATGAGAATGGCGGCGATAAAGCGGAATATACATATAGCTGCATCGATGTCGTTTTTCCAAATTGCCAATAACCGCGTGGAATTAAAAGCACGCAACAAGATGTAATAATTAACTTTTTTATACCCGAGCGCACTTGTGCACAAGGGTATATTAATTTTGTTCACATAACGGTTGTTTGTAACAGCCAAAACGAATCGAGATAGATATAGACAAATGTATACATAAATGATCAGGATGAAAAAAGAAATCGATTAAGCCATGTCTGTCTGTCCGTCCGTCTGTCCGTCTGTCCGTCTGTCCGTCTGTCCGTCTGTCCGTGTACACGATAACTCGAGCAAAAATTTAGATATCTCAACGAAATTTGGTATGTAGGTTTCCCTTAATCCAAGGTAGGTTGGTATTGAAAATGGGCGAAATCGGACTTTAACCACGCCCACTTCCCATATAACGGTAATTTCCAGAAATACGAAAACTGCGATATTTTAGTAACTACTGAAGATAATTCACTCAAAATTGATATTTACAATAATTTTTAGACGAAAAATAAGAATATTATAAATTTTTGAAAAATGGGCGTAGCCACGCCCACTTATGGTTACATATAACATATATTTAATACTTGCGCCGGGTATTTAATGTTCGGCTCCGCCCGAACTTAGACTTTCTTACTTGTTATGTTTAATTTTTGTGTGTTATTGTGAATTTGTATGCTTCGCGACTGTAGATGAGTCCGCCGAAAATTCGCATTTCGTTTAGTTTCTAGATGTTAAGCAATCTATGTATGAGTTTTTTTAATGAAATATCTTCAAATAAAGGGTTATAAAAATGTTTATAAAAAGCTTTCTTTTGAAAAAATACGCTTGTAAACAACTTTTTTTGAACCTTTATTATAAGTTTACACTTTTAGGCTTTTAAAAAGCTTTCTTTTGAACATTTATTAAAAGTTTATATTTCTACGCTTATAACCAATGTTCCTTTTCGATTATATTACGCTTACTTTCAAGCGTTTTATAAACAAAAAAAACAACGTTTTGTAAGCTTAATGTTTATAATTGAAAACTTAAAAAAAAAACTTTCTTTAAGTTTATTTTGCTTGTTGGGTTGAGATGAAAAATGAGAATGTGTGTGTGTGTGAGCTTCAGTTCGAATTTTAAAATTATATTGCTGGCAAACGTCAGACTGTCTCTCAATGATTTTACCTTGTAATGTTTTTATCATTTGGTAAAAACACTGCTTTATCAATCAGGAGAAAATTGTTGTTGTCACAATGCAACGAATGTTCTTTATTTATGTGCATTCTTTTATTTTAGCTAGCTGTATAAATTTCATTAATAAATAAAGGTTTTTATAAGGATCAAAGTAGCCCTCGGTGCGAACTCGGTTGGACGCCACTGTTTTTGGAGATTGGCAATACAATGATACGGCTAGTGCTTTTCGGGGGATTTTGGAAATTATTCAAGATTTCTTACGGATGTTTCCGAATGTTTTAGCTACTTTACTTTTCGCCATTTTTTTTTTTTAATAACTTTGATGCTTTTTTGGGACTTTTCCTTAATTTTTGAGAACTTTTCGGTGTTCTTTATGTTATACTAGCAATTACCCGGCGTGCTTCGCTGCGCCTTAAATGTATTT